AGGAAATGAGATGGCCGACTTGATAAGGGAGCAGGACATAGATAATTGTCTTGTAAAAGAGTTACACTCTTGCCACCGGATGGGAGGGTGATTTGTACATCTATGTATCCTAATTGAGGGGAAAATTTCCATTTGTAAATTGTAATACCAAATCCATCATTTAATAGAAGTGAGATTTTTTTCCTAGTCCCAATTAATCAAAAACTTGGTTTTCATTTGTATTTTCATGAAAAAAAAATCCTACTTGAGTTTAATGGCAGGGAATAAATACTAGGAGATTCAAAACAAAAACAGAATAAACCAAATACTAGATTTTTCAATGTAATATAATAAAGAATAGGGTGCATCATTATTACCTATTTTTATTAAAAATTACATCTAAATGCTGGCTTTGGTGTTTATGACAGAGAGTTTGGGCTCTATTTCATCTTCTTGAGGAAGAAGATGATGAACAATGTTTTATTTTCAATGATAGTTTTGACATTTTCGAAAGTGTTAAAGCTATACATGATGTCACCCGTGATGCACATAACTAATTATCCGTTAGTGATAGGTATTAGATTGGCAAGCTTTGAAAGTTCGGGTATTGAATTGTTGCATTTTAAAGTTTGGAGACCAAAGTGGCACTAGGCCCAAAGTACAATGTACTAATCGGGAAGTTTCCCAAAAGAGTAAATTATAAAAACCTCCCCTAAGGTTTTTGACAATCATAAAAACCTCCCCTCAAATTTTACTTAACAAAACCCTCCCGTAATCTTTTGAAAAACTCGACACAAACCTTCTTCCATCACTAACCCTAGGAAAATGTTCGACTGATGCATTATTTTTTGGAAAAATACCTATTTTACCCTTTTTATATGATTTTATATAGAGTTTTATTAAAGTAACTTCGAAAAAACTATAAATTGGTACATCTCCTTTAACGATTCTCTGAGCCATCCCTTCCACCACACTAGTCTTACCCAGACCAGGCTCTCCAATCAAAACTGGATTAATGTTCTTTGTTCTTCTCGAAAGAATCCTTATAAATCTTCGTCCCTACCAATGACTAGGGGCATGCTCGTTTCCTCTTAACTSTTATATCTTAAGAGGAATCTTTTAACTTTAAGAGAATGATTATTGTTCATTTTCTCTTATCTTTTATCTCTTAAAGTGCAACCATGCAATTCTTTGTTTTCCAATGATACCCCCAAAAAGATAAACAAAAACTCTCATATATGGGGTCAAAATGGATATTTGATAATTTTCAAAATTCAGAATTCAGAACAACATTCTCTGCATTCATAGTTTAGAGGAAATAATGAAGGAAGGGGAAATCCATCATATGGATGGCCGAACCATGCTGGATGGTGGGGTGAAATTTCAAAAAAATTCTTTTTACCCTTCTAGGAATCACATTCACAGTTTTAGAAAAAAATGCATTTTTCAAGGATCGTTCTTGCACCGAACCAGACTAGATCCGAAACCAAAAGAAAGGGAGAATAATAGATGATACAGATTCCACAYGTGTAGTTCCCAAAGTGGGTGTTTACGCCCAAAGAGGGTACCAAAACCAACCTCCACTGAAGATGACGCAGCTTAGGGTGAATCTAGTTCAACAACACAGTCCTTCAGCAAGAATTGGAATCCAACAGCTTGGATCAAGCAAGGGAGATGATCATGAAATAAATCTGATGTTTTCTTGCAAAATCAGATATCAGAACTGATCTCTATCAGTTCAAGAATGGAGGTCGAATTAGGGTTAGTGTGGCAAGAGCAGAAGGAGAGAGAGAAAATTGAGAGCATTGTGTAAACTGGAGCAGTTCGCCCTCCTCCATTTATATACCTTAAAAAACAGCTCTCCTAATCCAATTAGGAGCTTCCTAATCCAAATCTTTATTTGGATATGGACTCTTTAAGTGGATAAGACTTATCATCTTATCCTATCTTCTAATCCAAACCCATATCCATACCTAAATTCGCCCATGTCACATGACTACTTTAAATTGTCATGTGACATCCTGATTACTCCAATTAATCATGGGCCTTAGGCCCATTAAGCAAGTGGCTCACGTCCCCTTTTAGTTGTTGGCCAATATGGCTCTCTTTGTATGGCGTGGGATCCCAACATTGACCTCACAAAAGCCCATATGGGTTCAGCCTAGCTTCTGTGACAAAGCCTGGCCGAATTCACTGATAAGCACAGTGAACCCTTGAGTCCATCGGTATCAGTTCTTAATGGGCCCAACATTTATACTAAATAGTCATTGAGTCCAACCATCTTATGAAGGCCCAAGGACAATGGTCTTAAGTGAGATTAGGGCATCAGGTATAACAACCCCAAATGGTCTTACACTTAACCTCTCAGCCCTTAATGATCAAACACTACTCGACAAGGGAGGACCTCTCCCTCGGTTGCAAGGTGCAGTGTTGCACTCTTTGCTCAGATGGATCACGGGAATTAAAACCTTTTGCAAACCTTTTTCGTAAAACATAATATATATATATATATGTATATATATTCATATAAATATATTTTGTAAAACAAATCTCAAACACGGTTGAAATCGACTATCGACAATTTTGGTTTCGATCAGAGAGAGTGCAGTCTCGATCATTCACTTTGTCCGACAAAGGGGCTGATCCTGTCACTATGATCACCCACTCGAGTGAATTCTCAGACTGCCCCAACATACACAAGTTTTGGCCCCCTCTAAGGATCTCACTGATTGGCATATCAAAGACAACCCAATCCGTCACCCAATGCAGTACCATAATCGAGTCTAGGGGTTAAGTGTAACTTTCCAATTTTGCCCACTAGTCTCCAAGGTCCAGGGCATAACTGGAAAATGGTTCGGGTTCAATGTTTCAAACAAACACACACTACATGTGCTTCGGGTCTCACCCTGGCAGCTGAGACAAGTCACCCCAACCAACTTGGAAGCACATTAGTGTCAGCCTTGGCAAGATAAACTTCCCCAAGTCTATCCAACGGTTGAGAATATTCTAAACTAACACAAGTCTCATAAGTGTCCAAATTAAGGGTAATTACATAGAAACACACCAAATATAACATGAATTAATTATGTACTTTTATTCATTTACAATAAATGCATATGTACATCATTCTGATTGGAGGTAAGGGCATATTGTCTAACAAAGAAAACTTCACCAATACCTCTTAATGTAATTATTGCACTTTCATATGTCAGACTTTAGAGCAAACGAACATGCTCTAGATCTAGCTTCCCAGCTTGCTCAACAAGGTCACAACCACAAGTTTTCAATGTCTGAAAATGGGTGTCATCGGAAGCACTTCTAACCTTTCTTCCTTCTTTCTCTTGAAGCTTCTCAACCTCTGATTCCACTCTTTTCACACTAATCCCAACCTCCTTGAGGAGATCTCCTATTTGGGAGTCCTCAAGAAGACTGAGAATCAATTGATCAATGGCAAGATGGGTATTGCCACGAGATTTCTACGACGATTGGCCTCACTTGATTACCTTAATCAAATAAGTGCTTGCAAGGATTTCATTTGGGGCTGGATGTTGAGACGGAATTTTCTTCATGGATTGATTAAGGACTCGTTCAAGAGTTCACATCTGCGCCCCACAATGTCCCATAGTACATCCCCACCTTGTATCGAGAACATCTCCCGTACTTATTATTGGGAGATGTTCCCAATACAAGGTGAGGATGTGCTGTGGGGCATTGTGGGGCGCCCCCTTGTGAGGCACAAATGTGAACTCGTTCAAAGGAGTTCACAACCTTATCTCCACCACCAACATCAGCAATTGCTTGGAGGATGCCATTTTGGGTTAGTTATTAATGTGATTGTAAACTGTGCATGACCATAGTGCATTGCTAGTTCATTAGCCCCGACAATAACCTCGTTTGTTTTTGTGAGTGAACTTGTTAGGGTTCATTTTTACTTCTAAACTCCCTATTCTCGGTTCTTGATCAGGAAAATAAAACTTCAAAATTCAATTAGCGAAAATGAAGTAATGTATATACAAACTTGATGCTCTTCACTTGTTTAAGCTTAACTTTGCTAGTAATTTTCGATTAAAATGCAATTAAAACACATTTAAGATCTACAAATATTAAAAGAAAAAAGAAAAAAAAATGATAGCATTAATTTCTCCAAGACATGAATCTCTAAGACTAATGCATGGGAAACTGTCAAAATACAACTTTGCCATCCAGACTTCAAATGGTGGAGTCCTCTATATCAGAAGAGTCTGGACTTATGGCCCCTACGGGTTTGCACCCCGTTTCCATGGTATGAGTCCAAACTCAATGGAGTTTCACAAGTGGGAGATTGAAAGAAGAGAAAATGGGCGGCAAATAGGTTATTCAAATTAAAGTTTATTTTAGTAAAATTTTATGTGAAATTATATATAAAAGGGTAAATTTGGTATTTAAAAAATAATTTAGTAATATATTAATCAAACATTTTCCTTGTGGGACATTGATGGAAGGGAGGTTTGTGTTGAGTTTTTCAAAAATTTAGGGGAGATTTTTGTTAAAATAAAACTTGAGGGAAATTTTCATGATTGTTAGAAATCTTAGGAAAATTTTTTATTATTTTACTAAAAAAGGGAGAATGACTATTCAACATATTCCAAGAAATCTTAACCCTACACTAGTTCTGACATGTACAAAAAAAAACACCACTTAGTATATGTTTAGTTTCGTTTACATTTATTAAGTAAATTGCATTTACGTGTATCAAAATTTTATAAAAAGCAAACTTTGGTTTTTATGTCTCTCCCATTTCAAAAAGCTTCATTTTGGAGTTTCTTGGTAGACGTTTATTGGCATTTTGCTGATATGGTGCCTAATGGCAGCACCTAACACTCTCATTAAATATATTCTTCCCTTTTGCATGACGCTATGTTCAAAAACAGTACAAAATTAAATATATACATACAAATATATGTAAAATAATATAAAATATAAGATTTTGCACTCTACAAATTTATATTTAAATTTTAAATGTATTTCTCGGTTTTGCATCACACAAGTGCAAAACGTAGGTAAAGGGAACCAAACACCCTAATTATTCGCGTGCAGTTTTCCCATTCCCATTATCCCTTCAACCCTTCGTCTCAGTCGTCTTTGGTTCGCTTGAGTTTTAGCAGGTTTAAATATCCCTAACCCAGCTGCTCTATTTAAGGGGAGGTCTACTGGTCTAGGCGTCTCCACTCTCCAGCGCACAAGACCCAATAGCTCTGGTAACTCTGGTTCGCGTAAGAACGGGTGGGTAACAAACCAAATCTGTGCTTAAGACTCTCAAGAACGCCAGAAGATCAAATACTCTCTCTTAATCTTCTTTTCTGCATTGTAAGATTCAATTCCATTTTTTTCTTTTTATCTCAACTATTCTGAAAAAAAAATATCAGAATATTTCTGTTTACGAAGCTTTTTTGCTGGTCGGATACCTCAGGAAATGGGATATGCCCACAGCCCTCATCCATCTTGCGACCAGTCATGGCGTAATGGAAGACAGGCTTTTGGTATAAGATTTCCCTTCGTGGGTGCAGTCGACCCTAGAAGAGGATGCTAGATCCTCGCTCCTGATGTGGTGTCTTTAGATTAGGTCTCTGTTTTCTTCTTTCTGTATCTCAATATTTAAGTTATATTATTTGCCAGTTCTTCAATAATTTAAGTTCTTTTTTTTTACAGCTTTTTCTAAGGCTTTTGTTTGGTTGAAAGCTTAAAACACTCAAAACAATGGCGTCTCGGTTCTGGGTTCAGGTTCATGCATTCTCTTATATGAACTGTATCGTGATTATCAAATTTTGAAGAAGCATGTATATTCAACTAATGCGAAAATTGTATGTCTGTGTGTTTTGTTCACAGAGTGATAATGACACTGAGGAGGAGGAGAGTGATTACGAGGATGACATTGATGCTGGTGGTGTTGGCGAGTCTGCTGGAGAAGCTGCTGGAAGCAGATATCTCGAAGGGAATGCGAGCGATAGTGATGATTCTGATGGTCAGAAGCGTGTGGTTAGATCTGCAAAAGATAAGCGGTTTGAGGAGATGATGTCTACTGTGGACCAGATGAAGAATGCCATGAAGATAAATGACTGGGTAAGTCTCCAGGAGAGCTTTGACAAGATAAACAAACAGCTTGAGAAGGTTATCCGGGTCGCCGAATCTGAAAAGGTCCCTGCACTTTATATCAAGACTTTAGTGATGTTAGAGGACTTCTTGGCTCAGGCATTAGCCAATAAGGATGCAAAGAAGAAGATGAGTAGTAGCAATGCCAAAGCATTGAATTCCATGAAGCAGAAGCTTAAGAAAAACAATAAGCAATTTGAGGATCTGATTAATAAATACAGGGAAAATCCTGAGAATGAGGATGAAGGAGAGCAGGAGCAGACGGAGGATGAGGATGAATCAGGTTCAGAGTTTGAGGAGGACCCATCAAAGATTGCAATGATGTCAGATTCTGGGGAAGAGGATGAGGAAGAAGATGACGAGGGTGGGGATAACCAAGCTGAGGGGACTGGAGTTTGGGAGAAAAAGATGAGCAAGAAAGATAAACTTATGGACAAGCAATTCATGAAGGACCCAAGTGAAATCACCTGGGATACGGTTGACAAGAAGCTTAAGGAGATCGCTGCTGGAAGGGGTCGGAAGGGAACTGGAAGGGTTGAGCAGGTTGAGCAGCTCACCTTCCTTACAAGGGTTGCCAAGACTCCTGCCCAGAAGCTTGAGATCCTATTTAATGTCGTTTCTGCCCAGTTTGATGTGAACCCAAGTCTCAGTGGACACATGCCTATAAACGTATGGAAGAAGTGTGTGCAGAACATGCTTGTGATACTTGACATCCTTGAGCAGTATCCGAACATTGTGGTAGATGATTCGGTTGAGCCTGACGAAAAGGAGACCCAGAAAGGGGCAGACTATAAGGGGATGATTCGTGTTTGGGGGAATTTGGTTGCATTCCTTGAAAGGATTGATGCTGAGTTCTTTAAAAGCTTGCAATCCGCTGATCCACACACTCGGGAGTATGTTGAGAGACTGAGGGATGAACCTACATTCCTTGTTCTTGCCCAGAATGTTCAGGATTATCTGGAAAGGATTGAAGATTTTAAGTCAGCTGCAAAGGTAGCACTGAGACGTGTTGAGCTAATATATTATAAACCCCAAGAAGTTTATGATGCCATGAGGAAGCTGGCTGAGCGTACAGAGAGTGTAGAGAATGGGGAAACTGAAGGAAATGAGGAGCCCCAAGCAGTTGAGGAGACTAGGGGCCCTCCTTCCTTTGTTGTTACCCCTGAGCTTGTGCCCCGAAGACCCACTTTTCCGGAAAATAGCAGGACATTGATGGATGTACTGGTTTCCCTTATTTACAAGTATGGGGATGAGCGAACCAAAGCTCGTGCAATGCTCTGTGATATATACCACCATGCTATTCTGGATGACTTTTCAACCTCCCGTGATTTATTACTGATGAGTCATTTGCAGGATGGGGTTCAACATATGGACATTTCAACTCAGATTCTTTTCAACAGGGCTATGGCTCAACTTGGTCTTTGTGCATTTAGGGTCGGGCTAATAGCAGAGGCACATGGATGCCTTTCTGAACTATATGCAGGTGGTAGGGTAAAGGAATTACTTGCACAGGGTGTTTCACAGAGCCGTTATCATGACAAGACTCCTGAACAGGTACATGCTTTGTATGTTATAAATGTCCTATATTGCATTTGCTTACTTCCTCGTTTGGTTGGAAGAGTTTTAGTTAAAAGATTGCCAGTACTACTTAAAGGAATTGGAGTAGGGGCAAAATCTCTCTCTCTCTCTCTCTCTCTCAATCTCTCTTTTGTTTTATGGGGTGTTTGATTTTTTTAACAATGGAATGGAAAGGTCTGGTTTGGGTATGTGTTTAGGATTCAGATTTGTCTAACCTCAAAATCTGGCTATACCGGGACTCAGCTAAATCTGAATTACCAACTTTTACTAATATATGAATGATGGATATATAACCATTTGGAGTATCAGGTGGGATGGAGTAGATACAGACATAACCTTTGGCTTTTTTTGTTATTTTTTTTGCACAAGGTGGCTGCTCGTTGTCTCAAACATGCTTTGTTTACAAGCTTGCTGTCACTTGAAGTATTTGTGATGGAACGTGAGTGGATAATGGTTTCTAAGATAGAAATAAAGCACACTGATGAAAATGGAGGAGGGTTTCTTTTGAGTTTTCTTATAATCAATGATCTCTTGGTAAGGAATTAACACAGATAATGAGTATACATCAATTGGTCAAAGGTTGCATTTTTTCTTTGAAAGCACAAAAGACGTAACTCCCTAGGGCGCCATGGCAGCCCTAGACCCTAGTACACTGCCAAAGTATCTTCCTTTTTGGAGGGAGTGTTTTTACACTTCCCATTTCGACAATAGAGTCTATATACTTTATTCTATGGGTTTGTTCTGTTGTGCCTCTTTTTTCAAATCTTTGATTTTTCCCTACCCACTTGCTGGTTTTTCCTGTCAACTCCTGTGAGCACTGCAGAAAAGGAGGTCTAATTGGTGTCTCTCCTTTCACATGTGCTTTCTGTGCAATCCAACTGAGGTGTCCACCTTTCATCTACTAATTACCTGCCGATTTACATCTTGCGTTTGGGAGTGGTTTCTTTCTCTTGCAGGAAGTCCCCACCAACTGATTTGAAGACCATTCCTCTGACATCTTTCTTCAATCTGGCTAAAAGAAGGGAAATATCTTGTTGAGGTGTACCAGGGCTGCCATTCTATGGTCTGTTTGGGAGGAGAGGAAAACAAGGATTTTCAATGAAAATTCAGAATCCAAGGAAGCAATCAAAGAAAATATCACCATAAGAGTAGTGCAGTGGGTCAAAACATATAAACCATAGTTGTAAAGGTGATGCCTAGGCAACAAGGTTCCCTTGGAGGCTCACCTTGCCTAATCGCCAAGCAGTTTTGTATGTTGTGTTATAAAATACTTTCATATTCTTAATTTTTTTTTGAGATTATAATTATAAAATAGACATTATTGTGTGTTTATATACTAACTTCTTTTTACTATTTTTTTATTTGTTAGGGTTTAAATAACACAAACATTGCTAACTGGTTTATTGAACCCTCAAAGACTTCAAAACCTTAACCAATAAGTAAGGAAGAACTTACAATTTTGTCTAATCAACACATTTTCTTCTTCCACATCTTCTTCTTTTTCTTTCACCTTTTCTTTTCTCCTATTCCTATAACAAAAGTAGGGGTTCAGCCCCTATATTTTTGAATTTTCCTTTTCTTCTTCTTTTTCTTCCCATGAATATGTTGATTTTCTATACTTTAACACAAAGTTTATACTTATGAAAATTATGGATAATTATTAAGAAAATATGGTTATGGAACCTAGGGAACTACCCTAGGATATATGTGTTTTACTTAACAAAATCCATTGCTTAGGTGACTAGGCAACAAGGCACTCCCCTGTCGCCTAGCCTTGACTTGGCGCCTTGAAAACTATCATTTAAACCTTTTGAGCAGTTCTCCATGGATGACATTATTTGAGAATGGCATATAGTAGCTCATTCTCCCAAGACTAGAACCAGCATTCAAAGGGAATGGAGACCACCAGCTAAAAGTAAATTGAAATTAAATTTTGATGGATGTTCCTGGGGAAGGTATTGGAAGTGTAGCTAGAAATAGCCAAGGTGCAGTGATGGCCTTGTATTCTGGTCCTATAGGCTTTGGAGACTCCAAAAAGCTGAATTGATGGCTGYCCTACTCCTACAAGGTCTTTAGACTGAGCAAAAGGCTAGCATGAGARACATAGTAATAGAAGGAGATTCTAGAATTATGGTGGGCTGGTTAAAGGAAATAGTTGAGGAACAAGGCATTATAGACAAAAAGCGTTCCTTGACCTTGGTTGGAGATACTTAATGATGGWGGAAGGTTAAGTGCAGACTGCAAAGTGGAGAAGACATGTGAAGATTGAATCTAAGCAGCTCCTGTTCAATAGTTGCAAGGTAAAAAGGATTAAAAGAAACCAACACTGAAGATTAGGGAGATGAAAAGGGCATGGTGGTTCTGGTTGAGGAAGAGGTTATTGAGTGGTTCAAGGCCTTTGTTGAGGAAGCAACTCAGGTTAGTTGGAAGCAGGATTGCAAGGGGTTATGACAGGAAGTATGTGGCAGAGAGAAGACAGAATGCTAAGGATAGATTTCTGGTGCTTGTGGAATTTTTTGGAGATGGAAAAAACAAATRGTCTGTATCCCAGAAGCAAAGGAAGCCGATTGGAAAGGAGTCTCAGGTATTATGGAGGACTTCTCTGTCTTGCTGAAAAGATTGCAAAAGACTTGGAAAGTTACAGAGATGACACAGGAGAGAGGTAAAGCTCTGCTAGAAATGGAGCAGAGACATTCCGAACAGCTTGGTGACAATTGGTCAGACTGCAATTGATGGTAAAATAATCATTTATGCTTCAAAGAAAGAATGGGAAAAGAAATCAATAGTGACTGCTAATGTGCCACCAAGAAGATTGGAGAGCAATTGCTAAGGAGGTATTAAAGGGAGCTTAAGCTGAACCATACTATTATTCTAACCCCCTTTGAGGACTGTAAGGCCCTTTTGGAGCTGGTAGGGGTAAAGGTTGGGATCGATGTTGTCTGCTTGAAGTTGGATTCAGGTACAGTTACTATCTCCAGATGGTCTTCTGAGTCTAATTCCAAGAGCTTCAGTGTGGAGGACAGAGTTCTGGTTCGGCTGCTAGGCTTGCCCTTTTATTCATGGAGGACAGAAGTGTTTTGTTCCATTACCTCCCTTCGCAAGGCCCAATTGAATGGAGTTTTTGCGAGACTTGTATTCAGCAGTTGTCTGTTAGAGTAGTGTGTCCTTAAGATGTCCCTAGAATGGTGAAGGAGTGAACACATGGCATTGATAAAAAAAAGGTGTGGACCATGTGGTCACATGGAGTTTTCTGCCCCATCTGGTTGGTGGCTGCCATTGAGGTCTCCCTGTGGCATGAATGAAGAAAKGTTGAAGAAGAATGCTTACGTGGACTTCAGGGAGTGGTTAGTTCAAATTGGTTTGAAAATTTCACGAATATGGAAAGTTTAGGGGAGGGGATATTAAAAGGGAAGAAAATTGATACTGAGCTAGAAAGATTAACATCAAGGGAACACTAATAGTCTTACAAGGGTAGGCAGGTCATCTGTACAGGATAGCTTTGGGCAAACAAGTGGTAGGCAGGTTAGACTAGAAGGGAACACTAATAGTCTTACAAGGGGATGTGAACTGACTCAAAGCTCCTTTGACCAATCTGATCAGCAAGGCAAGGTATCAACTAATGCTAATTTAGTCCTGAGCCACGTAGGCACCAGCAGAGAAGGT